GATGGACGGCGAGAAAATTTGCTTTTTTAAAACGATTATCCGAACGCTTCGGCCGGCGACGGCCTCGAAAGTGGATTAACGCAATTTTCGCGACGTTTCGAGGCCGGTCCGCGCTAATCCGATTACTTAACGTCAGAACTCGACAAGAGCGATTCGCGGAACGCTCGAGTTTCCCCGCGGGATTAAAACGAGTTAATTTAAACTTTCCCTCCCCCGACGACGGAGGCGTCGTCGCGCGAAGATCCACTCGATGGACATTTTTCAGTCGAGCGCTTCCAAATACGACCCCGCGACCGACAGGTCGCTTTCAACGAGCTTCGTCTCGGGTCACCTAATCTTAGAGTTCATTGTTACCGTAGTAACCAGTGGCAGTCGTCGACGGCTCGCTCTTGTCCTCTCCTTTCGCGGGGTTCGATTTTATCGTTCAATTTCGATAACACTTCGGGTCTCGAGGAAGGCGGTCGACGTTTAATCGTTCACTGGCCAATTCAGCGAACGAGCACATTTCGCGTGCGCGTTAAACGAATCCAGCCAGCCATAAAATACCAGACACGGAGCGACATTCGTTTCGGAAGATATAGCGCGCGACGGCTGTCGCGAATTTCGCTACGGGAGCAGCGACGTTATGAAATTTCGCGCAAACCCGTCCCTGTCCCCATCCGCTTCCGTTCTTTTTCCAGCTCGACGTTCGCGCGTATGCCAGCGCGCGTGTAGGTTCGGCCGAATTTTCATAATGAAATTACCGGATATGTCACGCGCGCGAAAACGCGCTCGACCGACCTCCCACGCGTTTTCACGCTACGCGTCGCCATCAACGTCCACCTACCCGCGTCCAAACACTTATCCTTTTTGATATCGAGGAATAGACGCGCTGGGGATTCCCCACGCGGGCGGCAAAATTCATTGTGCGATATTTCGCGTGGCTAATGCGGGATAATTGTGCGATAGGGGCACGACGTAGACTCGTTGCTGTGGGCACAGCTCCATCAGGCTGGATGGAAAACGTCTTTGTTGAAGCCGGAGGAATTGGCTTGAGACGAGGCATCCCACGTGGTCTCGTGGGTGATGTTAGGAAGACAGTCGATGAGGAGGAACACGGAATCGTGGTCTAGACTTTACCGAAGTTTTTGATAAGCTCATCCTAACCACGTGTTAAGCAAACTGTTTGGTTTGGCTTGCTCAAACATTGCTATCAACTGGTTTCGTGCATACTCCTGGCGCTCTATCGAATTACGTGCACCTCTAAGAGAACGTTCTCGATCCTCTGTTGTTCTCCACACCTTCCACTCTATTGCTAGAGAAATGTGCGCTGTACTCTGATGACCTACTGATCCAGTTGCACTGATATTACGATAATCTAAAGGAAACTCTGCGAAAAATCAGAAGAGAGACAAAATTTCAAAAATTTTTAGACCTAGTTTGGGTTAACCTACTACTACATCTGACCGCAACAGTACGTCCTCGCTTTTGCAGACTCAGTAAATAGAATCAGCCATCAGTGGACAGACACGGCCAAACGTGCTCACTACCGCGCTCGCATAGAACGGTCTATCTAATTATAATAACGAACTATTCTCGGAAAATTTATACACACATTTTATTCGTACCACGAATGCAGCAGCCAGCGATACCAACACTCCTTTGCCCCGGAAATTGCATTATACGTTTGAACCGCATTAATTGCTGTTCGCGCTCTGTTTGCTCGCCGCTATTATCCTACCCAACGAAAGTTTCCCAGGCTCGTCTATTTTTCAAACGACTATTCTGGCGGGGTTTTCGAATTTTTCCGAGCCGCGAAATCCTCTTATCATCGCGACGCAGTGGTTTATAATGACGCTTAATTAATGCAATAATAACGACCGCGTTCCACGCCGTTGCGTTCACAGCGCGGACACTGTTATATTTCTCCGCAACGCGAATTCTTCTCGACGTGTTTTCCATTATTCACCGTCGTCGACGGGAATCGCGGCATAAAATACCTGATTAGGCGAATTTCCATCCGACGACGGCCGCCGAAACTAAGCCGAAACTGTCCACTGGTCCGACCCGTTGGTTACACGCGGCCGAGGGCAGCTATTTATTACCAACCCTCGCGCGTTTTCGTCCCGCGGGATAAAAACGCACGCGTTTTTTTTTTTTTTTTCGCAGAGCACAATTTTATTAGAGACGACATTTCTCGCGGCGCATCATTTCTAATTTCCGAATTTGGCCGAATTTTCACGACGACACCGGTTTCTAGTTCAGCTCGGAATCCGTTGTCGCTATTTCGAGCAACGGGGGCTTGTCGACGCGGCCACCGCGAGATTTATCGCGCGAAATCGTACGACGCGGTTCCAATTAACTCTCGAGCAATTCCTGACCGAGTCTGACTGCTTTACGAGTGCGACCGCTTCCTGGTGGCCTATAAAACAATCGCCGATGCGTTGGCAGAATACACGCTCGACCAGAAGACCGTAGGTTGCACGTCCAGCGGGTGGGTATTATTTTTTTACGCGAGGAAATGTAACGTGTGACAGCTCTGATTTCATCGTTGTCGTTCCTAAGATTCTAGATCCCAAAGTTCTAGGTTCTAGGTTTCTACGGTTCTTCTCACGGTATTGGGAATGGCTTGGGTGTATCGGGGACAGAATTAAATAAAAATCACGCGACCGGAGGACTCGGTCCGCGCGGAGCCGAGCCAGAAACGAGATGAGCGGTTCTTGGAGCTCGGTTGGCTGCTCGTCCGCATTCTGCTCTGCATGTGAATGAGAGCACCGCGAAGGCTGGGCGGCTCGGGGGTGGAAAAGAAACGGAGTAGCTCCGTGGGGTTCCAGCGTCGTCGGGCGTCGAGGTAGAACATCGGCCGAGCCAAGAAACGGAACGGAAGGAAGGCTGCATTTATTAAACTGAGCGCGGACGTGTTCCTCTTCCTCTTCCTCGGCTTCATCCACCTACGCGTCGGTCTTCTTTCCTTTTTCCGATCCCCTTTCCCACCTCGTTCCTCTCGCTATTGCGCCGCCGCGCGCCAACCAGCGCCAGGTCGCTTAGCGTAAAATAGTAGCTCGATACCCTCTTCATCATCGTCCTCTCTCTTTCTTCTCATCGCGGAGCTTGCTCGGGAATCGAATATCAACGACGACGACCTCGAACTTTCCTTTTAAAAAAATTCAACCCCCTCCGTGTTTGTTCCGCGAAAGTTCAGCGATGAGTTTTCAGGAAGTTTAAGAAGTTTAGGGTTTCATTTTATTTGTTAGAGGGTAGGAGATCATCGAAGGAGGTTAACTTGGTCCATGTAGGTGATAGGCTCCACGATAACAGACTCGTCAGTATCTACTGATGCTTTTACGAAGGACGTTCCACCCTCGGCATTCTAGCGTACAAGAATCTCCGTCCTCCGAGCGTTCGATTAGCGTTCATGAATCCACTTCGTCGTCGTTAGTGTCGCGAATGCACTATAATCTCAAAGCGCCCCGCCCCATTGATTCAGGCCAGCGGACCATTGTCCACCCTGATCACCTCTCCAGCCAACCCCCGGGTACAATAGGCGCATCCCTTATCGCAACGCCAATAAAGAAAGCCTCGACGGATGAGGAGTGGGAATCGATCACCGAGATCTCCGGGACGGATGACGAATAGAGACAGCGATCGTATCTGGATATACGCCGCGCATCCTCGGTCAGAAGGACGCTCGCCAGGGGTTGCGGAGAGGCCGAAACAATTAATCAAGGGAATACAATCGTGTGTGCCAGGGCGGGAGGTCCCCGGATAGGAGCGAGACGAAAACCGGTGGCGTGACTGATTCATTATGAGACTGTAATTAAGTCCCCGATATTAGCATACCGACTGGGTAGGCCGTCGCGGTCGACAGTCGGCACCGACTGGAACGACTTGACCCCGAAGTCGATTCCCATGCTAACGAGTCGCGGAGACGCACACCCGTCGGTGTATATTACGTCGAAAAAGTAAACAGCCCTTCATTTATTTCTGATAGATGCACCTCTTAAAAAATTACAGACACTATCGTCTAGGGCGAATCTCCTTATTTGTGAAGAAAGACCAGTTTTCCTCGAAAACTACACTATTGGGATTTTTTTGATTTTTTCCATAGTGATGTTAGTCTAAAAGTACATTAACTGGAACCAGAAACGTATACAAGTCAAAACGCAAGTTGTGTTGAGACTATTTTTCTGCGCAGCTCGAATTTTATTCTTCTTTTATAATCGCGTGCCTCAAAGAGTTAAAGGCCAATTACTTCCCGGTATCGTACTGCAAAACCCTCGTTGCACCTAATACTCCACCAGACTCGTATCTCTCGATTACCCACCGAAATCCACCCTTTCCCGTTATCAATTTAACTCTAGGTCGCAAACTTTCTCGGTCAACCGACATTTTTTTTTCCAAGCCTTGAAACCATCCTTCGCTCTGTTTTCCCTAGACGATACTCGCTGCTAACGAGTTTATGCGAGCGACGACCCCTCCGTTGTCCCTTCCGTACCGTGGTTCACGTCACTGTTCTTTTTCCCTTCGTTTCCCCGTGGTTCGTCGACGCACACCGTCCGATCGCGGTAACGAGATTTCTACCGACGTTTGATCGCGTTTTCCTGTAGGCGTTTTGTACCTTGGACAGGACACTGGAATCCTTGTAATTAGATTTCAAGGATCCCTATTTGATGGTTTCAAGGTTCAGAGTACTATTGCAGCGTTGTCCTCAGTTGTCTGAGTTGTCCTTCAAGTTGCTTCTGAGCTTCGATCACAAATTATAAGTTCTCCTTTAACACGTTGATCGCCACGTGAACTCTACGTGAGTAACGCGGCGATGAACGTGTTAAAACTAACGTGTTTTCCGGCCAGTTTGCGCTATAAATAAATAAAAGGTAAGACGAAGTAGCTCGCGCACGATCGGAAACGGGAAGGAATAAATTACCAGCGGCATTCGGGAGGAGATAAAGCTTCTTCCGCGAGCCGATTAATAGTTCTGTCAATAAGATTAATCGACCGTTGATTTTCCGTGTGGTTTTCAGCACGCTGAGGTGGAGGATGGAGGAGCTGGAGACGTTGGAGAGCACGGAGTGCCCCGAGTGCCCGGGTCCACCCCCTGAGTTCCGGTTGCCGCCACCCCCTCGGCCACCCTTCCTCACCGACGGCACCTTCTGCTCGGAGGAACCCCTCACCGAGATCGAAGACTGCGTCGCCATTCCGGTGAGTTCGACTTTTCCCAGCGATTTTTGGCCCTGTCAACCTCCACCCCCCTAACTCGGCGGAGGATAATACAGCTGGAAAGGAAAGTTGCACCCTTCGCTTTGAAAGACTTTTCCGTGGACGGCGAAATTAAGCACCCCCTAAATCGCCTTTCCTCGACCCGTCAACGGGAGAGCGCGTTCGTTAATTCTTGACTCAACTTCCGGCCCGTACTCATAATCTTCGACTCGATCTTCCGCTAACGGCTTACGTCGACTTCTACGCTACTTGTACCCGCTCTCGCCCATCTTCGAGGAAACTCGCGGCGCAGATTATAAAATATTTCCCGATGTAATTCGCGCTTTCCGAAGTCCTCGAACGTTCCGTCTTAACGCCGCGCTTCTAAAACCTTCAGACGCGATTAAACGGTGAATACATGGCTACGTTTTTCCTGACTTGTCGCGATTAAACATTTAGTCGAAATCAATCGTGATTAGTTGACTATCAGAATTAGAATATGAATTGTTTAGTTTGTCGGAACTGGAATTTAAGAGAGGGCGAAAAGAGATTCGACCTACACCTCATCCTAATCTCAGGGAGGTATGGTTAACGGGCACCCGGACAGACAAAATGTTCAGAGAGAGGGAGAATTCAATTAAGGACGCTCGATGCGTTTAACGCCCCGTAAAGCCAGAGGAGAGAGCGCAAAAACCAGCGAGGCTTTCCTTCGAAACTCGCGGGATTTGCATGTGCACAAGGGAAATGTTCGCGCGCGTGCGGGTGTCTCGTTCGGTGTAAACGGTCGGGCGACTCGCTCGGCGTGCGCCTCGCGTTAAATTATTATTTTAGATTAAACTCTCGCTCGCTGCAAGACACTGCTCGATATTAAAGTGATTTAATATAACGCGCCCCCGGGGACGAAATTAGAAATTATAAACGGGGATGGTCGCTGTAAATAACACTGGAATTTGCGTGGGTTACACCCGCCGCGATTAAAGCGATCGGCTCTCGAATCGTTTGTCTTCCACCCACATCGACTTTAGATGCGCCACTGATACGAGATTTTATTCAAATCTAAATTGGAAAGGTACATTCAGCAATAATGAAACTAACCTCGAGCAATGCCATTAATATGCACATGAATTTACAAATAATTCCTGTGTGTCTTTCAATCTGTTCGTATTTAAAAAGCATCGCACGATGACAGTATACGAGTGTCTAATAAAATCGAGGAATCCGTGATGGACCTTTTCAATCACGTGTTTAATTCGATTAAAAGACGAAATTGTACGTGGTTGTAATGTAGGACACGCCAACGTGTATCGCGAAGCGTTATTAATCCTGAAAGAATTTCGAAATCGGAGCATCGCCGATCGTGCTGTCAACAAGGTCTCTAATATCTGGAGTGATTCGTTCGTTTACAAAATGGAGAGTGACGCATCGTGGGAAGAAATTTCAACGCTGGTATGCGAGAGTCATGTATAATCGATGCATCGACGCGTCAAAGCTCTGACGCGAGCACGTGGAGTTCTCGTGATATAATCAAATATTCATTTTCTGTACGAGATACGTGCTGATAAAAGTAGGCGAAAATGTGTTTCAACGGGTCAGGATAGTGGAATATATTTCACCAGGTTTGCTGATTTATTCTGTATTCTGTAGGGGGATAAAAATATTAAAATTCTGCTCCACTTCTTTTGTCGAAGGCCAAAGTGGTTCTTTTCAATGATTTTCACCAAACAAATTCAACGAAGCTGTCCGTGGATGGTTAATTCCGAGAACCTACCGAATCCACTTAACGGAGAAATCTAAAAAATAATAGCTATACGTGAAGAAACGAGGGATCATTCATAACTCTTTGGAACGATTTGTTAAGTATCGACTAAATTTATTCGGAACCATTAGTGGAGTACTCGGTCAAAATCGTATTGAAATCGCTTCGGTGCCCCAGAGGAAAATGGGCCACGAAGTTCGGGCATTTTACATATGAATAGTCGTAGGTTTAGCTTTCTAACTCGACCAATAATGTTATTCCAGATACTCGAGTTAAAGAAAGCTCTCTAACTCCTGCAGACCATTCTCCAAGACTTTCTATTTCTATATCCAACTTCAATCTACATTTTCTAAGCAAAACATCTGAAAAAATAATTCGTGAAACAATTTCAGAACTAAAGGTTTCCTCGTCACTCTAAAAAGATTCGAGACACCAATGAGGAGAATTTGTGGATTCCTTTCGAGTTTACCTCTTGGGGAAGCGACAGAGATTCCCACGAAATGACCGACCGCTTAATCGCAACGAAACGGAAGATAAATTTCGAGCCACGGACGGCGTCGCGGAGGATTCTCCAATTACGCGTAATGATGTAAAATCGTCGGGCGATAATGGGTCCCCGGGTTCACGGGACGGGAGCGAGACACGTGTTCTCTATTAATAGGCCCGTGCCGTTTTTACCCCGGTCGGGTCGTCGTGAGAGGAAAAAACGAGAGGACGGGAGGACGATGAAAAAGAGGAGGCGTCGGCAGACCGATGGCGCCTGTCAGGGGTAAATACGGTTTTTTAACACGCAGCCTAAAGACAATAACAGAAACAGAGCTGTTTCGGCGTCCCTCGTACGAGCCCTTCTCGATTTACCCCGAGCTGGCGACCGCCGCGAGCTCGAGCGATTACTCTTCCGGTAGCTCGTTTTCAAGGTGGTTCGTTGGACGCAAAAGTTAAGCTCCAGGGGCGTTAAAGTGCCGCTACTGGCGCCAGTATTTTGCTCGCACGCCGTGCCCTGGAACAGGTGCCTAATAAACACGATGAGGAGATTTATAGTAAAGTGACGTTTCGCTGGATGATTGTAGTCCACGCGTATATCGAGAGCTCAATGAAATAGCGTGTTTCGAAGCGTATCCTTTTCTTCTTTTTCTGTCTCACCACCACACATGCGATCGATACTTGCAACTGTTTCACCCAAGACCAGTTGCACGCCCGATCGTGTCGGAAAAAGTTTCGAATCCAGGTTTAATTACAGCGCAATAATTTCCACGATCGCGTCGCCTAAGCTAAAGTTTGCCATTGTTCGCAACAACCAATAACAGGAGTCGACAAGGGGATTAATCCGACGGCGGAGATTTATCGAGGCGCGGTCGGTGGAAAAATGAAGCGTTTCGGTGTCGCGGTATCCGTGGGGAATTTCAAATGTTTGTCGCCGCGGTCGCAACTTATTCCAAAGTTGGTGCACGCGAGACGTCGAGTTTCGAATAGGGGCACCTTTCTTCGCGGAACGGAGATCACACGGGCCGCTTTAATTGGAATTCTTTCCCCCGTCTTCCGCGGCTATATCCTCGCTCGCTCGTAGATCACCCCGAATAGGAGGGAAAAAGTTATAGAATTCGCGTATCCGTGTCCGTACGTGGCCACAGATTGCGGCTAATGGTTCCCCCGCTCGCTGCTCGGTGGCTGAAATTCCTCGTCCGCCCGAAGATCTCAAGCATCGAGCCAAGATTTCGAGGAACGCTTTGTCGAGCAACCGTTTCTGGCTTTGGAACAACCAACGCCAAGATTAACGGAAACGCGCGAACGTTTTTGTCCGTCGAGCTCCCGATTCAATTCGCTGGCGCCGGATAAGGAGCTCTCTGGAATTTATCCCCCCGCTAAAATCCCCTCCTACCGATATGAATCGAGCAACCGCGGAGCCGCGCGCGACGCGTTCTTTCTTCCAGCCCTTCTTTTCTGCCACCTGTTCCGCCGGTGGCCCCCTAACCTGCGGCTCCCGTTACAACGACCTCCAGGGGTGGCGCTACTCGTAATCCACGCGACATCGAGGATCTACGTTCTTGTTGAACGGCAGCTTTCGAATGTAGATGGAGTACTCACATCTAGATAGAATTGAATCAAAGTGAACACTGAAAACTTGGGATTCAATTAAGGAATTTCTAGAGAAAAATTTGTTCTGGTTTAAACTCAGAAGCTTCGAAAGCACGCATGACGAATGACGTCATTGCGCCACTTTAAATTGTCCATCACCTCTGTTTAATTACGACGGCGGTTCGAACAAGACAACCCTCGGAGATCCCAAGATATTTTTTCGGAGGCGTCTTCCTTCCCCGATACGCGTTTATTCCCCGCCACCTGAGTTTACAGAGACGACGCGAAGATGGGGTTCGCAGGAGAAGTTCCTTTGCTAAAGGAAGTACCTGGGAAAAAAGACGTCGAGGAGGTCGCCGAGCAAAGAATCGTTCCAGCTCCGACGCGGAAAAAGCACGGGCCCAGGCAAGGGAGCGGAAGAATTATAAAGAGGGTAGATGGAATGAAAGGAAGGACCGAGCCGGATGATAGTAATTAAAAAGCAGCAGGAGAATACAGTTCGCGTAAGTTGTCCGGAGTTTATTAGAGGACGATACAGTCGCGCGGTATTTATTAAGCCACTCGTCCTCTCCGGCTTCCTCTCCGCAAGCCCTCGCGACTCCCTTTTGCGCTTGTCGCGATCATTTTCGGCAGACGTCGCGCCGGGGTTAATTTCTTCGGCGATATTTATCGCCCAGAAATCCCGTCGCGTCGCCTGGAGGGGGCAGCGGGTTAGAATGGCCCGCGCGTGTTACAGCCCCGAGCCACCCAACCCCCGACGCGAAAGTTTAGATTAAGTCTGCGGGTATAATGCGACGAGCACGGCCAATTGGACGAGTTTGGGGATGAATTATGAGACGCGCGAGATTGCAGCCGCCTCGCAGCCGACGGAGGCTGGGGGATAGTCGAGCGGCTGGAAACGAAACGTGGAGATTGTGGTGGAAACGCAAATTCGAATGAGACCATCGAGGATCTTTTAATTTCGAAATAAAGTTTGACTCGATCGATTGCAGAAAAAGACTGTTTATTGTTAAAACTAAAATACAAAGACACGCAAGGGGTTAACTGCCATTCATCTATCGGTTCGACCCATCTTGATCTTTGTCATCAAGAAAAGGTGGAATGGGAAGGGGGTGAGAGAGAAGTGAGGTTCGAGAACGGGGCGAAGTCCTCGGTGATGGCGTTTTTGCGT